AAAAACCAGCACATTATGGTGGTTTAGTTATGTTCTCCTGTTTGTGGTCATTAAATAACAGCACCATAGCTCTGCCCATAAATCAGAAAAGATTCAGACATCTGAAAAAATAAACCTACTGAAAAAAATCATGTATTACAGCTGCAAAAAAGTAAATATGGACTTTATTTTCTGTGCCTCCAGAAGAATCATCACAGTAAAAATAAATACAGATGCTAAAACCAGGAGGATTATAGAAGTCAGAACTGGTACAAGATTATGCATTTTATTAATATAATTTATATTCTAACAGGGTCCAATCTGGTGTTGAGAAATATAGGGATTATCCAGCCTCTGATAAGATAGGGCCCTGCTGCTTTCTCTTTATCACAATAAAATTAAGGTTAACCCTATCAGTACTTCACAGATCTCTAATAAATACATATAGAGCCTCACATAGAAATCACCAATTTATAAAAATGTCAAATGCTGCTTTGTATTAATGGAATCAAAATAAAACATAGTAAAGAGAATATTCAAGCTACAGATGAGTGGCCATTCACATAACCATTCCCATGACTCTAGCAATGTCACTGGAGTTTGGACTGCTTGAAATGGGGGCATAAATCTAGCCTGGAAAAATAGTGCTCTCAGAGTCATAACAACCCGCCTTAGTTCTCATTATCACACAAACTCCATTCAATATTCATATCTCTTGGGCTGATATTTCTGCCCTCTAAAAAATAAAAAGCTACACTTTGGGAGCTTGCATATGAACACGCACAAACACCAGTAGGAGCTCCCTAGTCCCTCGGGTGCCCACTTTGAGCTGAAGACAGCCTATGAACCAGTCACTGCTGCTTTGGGAACAGCCAGGACAAATCAAAAGAGCTATATGTTTTTCCTGACAGCCATCCCGTAGGAACGCATTTCCTCATCCTATTCCCACACAGTCCATATTTCACTTCCGCAGAGCTCAAGGGATTCATATTTTCCAATGTAACCAGCCGGAACAGTTGGAGGAATAGTGAACAGGGTGTGAGCTCAGGCCCTGCCAAAGAAATTCACAGTGCATGTCCAAGAAGCAAGGCATTACCCCTTTTCCTTCTTATATTACGTACACCTGAGCTTTCTCCAAGCCCCTCTCTCTTTATAACATCAGACCACGTAGCCAGTTCAGAGAAAGAGTTGTAAAGTCCAGGGCAGTACTTATCTCATGAGATCAAGACCAACATTTTTCCACAAGGAAAAGGCAAAACAACATTCTAGGGCATGGGAGCAACTTGGCTGCTTAAAAGCTCAGAGAGGCTGCTGCCAAGTCACTAGAATGAGAGGGAGAGGCAATTTTGGGGCTTCTCCCAAGCCGACAAATGAGAACAAGCCAGTCTAGGCTGCTTTGAGTCCCACCCTGTGGCTGATGCTGCGGGGCACACACCAGCGTGCTACTGTGCCTGTTTCATAGCAGAAGGAACAAAACGGACGTAATTCACTGGACAAGTGCTTTTAAGTCAGCTGCAATATGCAGCCCTGCTGTCGGCGCAGCTCAGGCTCTCAAATCTCTTGCCATCAGTGAAAACACCAAGAGCTCTTGTCGTGGGTTAGGCCGCTCCGGCAACCGAACCCTACACAGTCGCTCACTCACCCTCCCCCACTCCCAGGGATGAGGGAGAGAATTAAAGGATAAACGGGAAACCCGTGGGTTGAGATAAGAACAATTTAATACAGATGGTTTAATACACAGTGTAGGTGCTCACCACCCCCTCGTATGCGAAGCCCGTCTCGTCCCGAAGCTGCAATCCTGGAAGAACGTGAGGCCCCAAAATAGAGAGGGGCAGAGAGAGAGAGAGTACTCCGAGAGTGGGAGTACTGGGAGAGAGAGGGAAAAAAGGCAACAGAGCAAAAGTGGTGAAAGAGCCAAAGCACAAAAAAAAGCCCTTCTTTCCGGCTGACCCTCACCTTTATACTGGGCATGACGCTGCATGATATGGAATACTAATTGGCCAGTTTGGCCCTCAATCTTAAGTTCCACCACAAATCACAAGGGGAATTGTGGCCCCCTTGTCCCAGCTATGCTCCCCCCTTATCCCACCGTGCTTCTGCACTCCGGCCAGAACACGGCACACTGAAAAGTCCTTGGAGTCTCACTTCCAACCACAAACATCAGCTTGCTATCAACATTCTTCTCAGAGCGAGTCTCTGAGTAAAATCAAAACACGGAGCTCTTCTAGCTGCTAAAAAGAAGAGCTAACTCTGTCCCAGCTAAAACCAGGACAGCTCTACATTTAGAATCGGCCCCCGCTGCCTGCAGAGTTTTAGGCAACTCTCTCAGCTCCTGCGTCTCCACCTAAACAGAGTAATAACACCGCCCAGTTTCACAGAGAGAGGAGAGTATTAATTAAATTTTGTAGCAAGGGACGAAGTATCCACTCCAAAGTACTTCCACTTGACGAAGTAGGAGTAAATGAAAACTGCAAGGGAATCCATTATTCAACCTCTTCTCAAGATAGAAATAGAAAATATTGATTGGCCTCCATTTTATCCTGGGAAGAATTTTACATGTACATAGACTCCTAATTAACAGAAGGCTACCAGGTACTTGAAAAAAATGCTCATTTATATATTTTTATAGATACATATATATGAATGATACAGATGATACCAGAGCCCTCAAAGTCTTAATCGGCAGAGTCCTTTTCTGCTTCTGCACACAAAATTCATGTTACTTTCTTCTGATGTGCAAGTGTTAGCGTAGATTATTCCTTCACCGATTTTCCAAGTAACTGCATTAACTGAATTACTGTGATGGACCTGTCTGGGTTAGCTGCTTCCCCATACCAGCACGCATGGCAACACTGTTCTTCACATCAGGAAAGCCAGCACAGAAATTCTAAGCCTGCTGTACAAAAATACCAGTTTTAGACTGCTGCTGTTTTATTTATTCTGTAGGCAGGACTGTAAGTGTAACACAAACTATTGATTTCCCCAGTATAAGACCATGGATTTAAAGTCACACAGGAACATTAAGAGCCTCAAATTTGATCATCTGCAATATACAGCAATTTCTTAACTCAGTAAAACTGCACTTAAACTGGAGCCCGTACTTGAGACTCTGTTTTAATCTTACAAACAACAGTAGTGTACCTCCTGCCTGAACCTACAGTATGTGACTCAGAGGAAAGCTGAATTTTCTGACCTCTTTATTAAGAATAAATAAAAACCACTGCAAACCAACAGGCTGAAGGAGGGAGGGAATCTTTCCTGACACATTTTCACTATTTTTACCTCTGAAGAGTGAGGACCAACATTCTCCGTGATGCACTTGTCAACATAACAGCACTGATTGCTTTATAGATAAAAATGTTTCATTGTTTTTTTCTTTCCTCCATACCCACACATTTATCGAACGATCAGCCTCAACAACAGCCAACAACAGGGAATTCAAAAGATGATGATGTGGACCATAAGAATCATTTCTCTTTTAAACCTGCTCCTTAATATTTTCAAGTATTTCTTCTATGTTCAGGACAGGTCTTTACTATGATACTATTTTAGAAACTGCTTTCATTTGTCTTCTTAAGATCTCTCAAGCCAAGGATCTCTTTCCTTTCCCAAACTGTATCAGGGTAGTGCCCATAATCCCTCTACATGACTGCTCTCTCCCACCTTTCTAGTGCTTCTAATCTGTATTTTCTGTAACCTTAGTGATTCTAATTTTCTGTAACCACAATTCAGTATTAAATTCACAGTGAGGCGAGTCTGTCAATTTATACAATGACATGATAATATTTTCTAACTGATTCCCTTTCTAAATACAGCCAAGTGCTGTATTTGGGTTTTGGAGGCCTATTGCATATTAAGTAGATGCCTTTATTAAGCTATCATGTATGACGTGTAGATGTTTCTCCCAAGAGGTTACAAGTAATTCAGAATCCAATAATGCATAGAAGTAATTTTAAATTGCCCCTTCTACTTTAATTACCTTGCAAGTTAATTCCATGTTCCAGCTACAGCATGCTGTCCGGCAACCTCTTTTCAGTCCTTCAGAAGTGCACCTGACAATCACTCACAGTGTTCATTAATTAATTCAGAGCCTTTCTAGAAAGTAATGTTGACATCTTATCCACTCCTTGTCCAGGTTATTGCCAAACATACTGAATAGAACTAGATCTACAGTTAATCTTATTTTGTTATTTGGTGCAGTTATTTTTTTTTTTTATTTTTTTGTTATTTTGTCTTTCCATTGAGGAACCAGCACTTTATGTACGTAATGACTGTTAATCCATGGTAAAATTTTGCCACCTACCCTATGATTTTCAAGCTCCCTTAGTCTTCCGTTGTAAGAGATTTTGTTTGACAATTTTGATTGAATAGGCAGGTTACACACAATTATTTTAAGGATAAAGACAATCCAGATGGGCAATCTTGCCTTTACAACAGAAATACCAAGTAAGCACAGGAACAAAAGTCAAACATAAGTAAAATTTGAAACCAGAAACAAAAGCTTTGTTTATTAAACTTCTATACATTTACCTTGGCTTTCCACTAGAATTTAAGCATACATGTGCTGCAAGGAGCAACTTGGAAAGATAATGAATTGTGTGTCTTTGTCTGTGCTAAGGATATCTCCTTTGTAACAATATTAATGTGGCTCTTAAATTGTAAAGGTATTTTTTTTAAATCCTATTCATTCTGATGATGGGGGTGTCTTCCTACATGTTCCTAGTAAGGCTCGCTGGCTTCTTTGCTTTTTTTTGTGGGGGTTTTTGGTGTGTGGTTGTTTTTTTAAATGGCAGATGCACTTGGCAATATCTGTGACCTTGAGTTGTACACATGAGCAAGCAAGAGAGCCCAGTCCTGCCAGGCTGCTTATGCATTCTGCGAGAGCTCCTTCTGAGAGGGGTGTCTCAAGGAAGACAGAAGCATGATATGCATACCAAGCCAAGTGCTTCATGATTTATTTATAGGGAAAAGGGGCATAAAAATCTGCTGAAGGGGAAAGAAAAATGAAGAATCTGACTTACCTTGTCGGTGTAGACGAAGAAGAGAATGACAACAGTGAGCTCCAACAGAAATATAATTAACAGCATGATAAAAAACTGTCAAGAGAAGAAGGGACAGGGGAAAAAACAAAATGCAAAAACCATCAACATCTATTTCAGCTTTTTTGGATGCACAATAAGTATATTCAGCAGATCATGCAAAATGGGGAGTGGGAGTCATACAGGCAGCAAGATGCACAGCTGCTGTGTTACAGCAGAACAGAAGGCACGTACCATGCAGCAACTGAAAAAAACAGGTAAAGGACTAGTCAGAAAATGCAATAGTATCTGGGCATACGTATGGCTCATTTATGTCATTGATTTCAGTAGAACAGCATAAAACTCCACAAAGATCTGTCCCCCCAGCTGACTAATGCTCTATTCGACAGCAACCCTTGCGGACCCTTCCCGGGCTAGGTTTTCTTTATTATTTTCCCTATCAGATCTTTCCAATTAACAAGATATAAGCAAAATCCACAGCTTAGACTTGCAATTGCAAGAGAAGGTAGCCTGGTCCATAAACCATAAAGTCATGTCTCCTTTCAGGGGGAATTGTGGGAGAAGTGAAAGGCACACCAAAGAGCTCGTATACCAAGTTAGCTTTACAAGCAGTTTTGGGTAGCTACACAAATCACTCATGGGTTTCAAATGAAAGAGGCTGATTTGTACTGAAGACATCAAAGCAAAGTCGGTCCATCTCTTTTTCACGTTATAAGTCATGGAACTGTCTAAACTCCAGTAATGGAAAGCTCAAAGGAGTGGATAAAAAACTTCTAACACAGGGATTTCAGGTAGTTTCTCTAAAGCCCTCCGCTCTGATCGACTTCAGCGAGAGGAACTATTGGCAATGCCAAACACTTCTGAAAAACATATCCTCTGTTTGCTGTTAAGATGTTAGATGCGTCTGCAGCACAGGTCTGCAGCAGTGTCAACAGAGTGGTTGCACAGACTTTAGAACGAGTGCTGTCACAGCATTAAATGAAACTGAGTTTTGCAAAGATAGGTAAAGGAGTAATTTTGGAAACTTTTTAGGCTCAGGCAAAGGTCCTGCTCCCTATAACACGAACTCCATACATTTAGCAGCCTGCAAGGCTGGAATTCTAATACTGAGCAACACTGATTTAATTGAAATCCCATTCCCCAGAGAAAAAATCCAGTTACTGTCTCTGTAGCTTCAACCACAAGGCTGCAAACCTATTTGAAAGTTTAATAGCTACAAAGTCTTATCAGAGCTTCTTCACTGCCTGGTAAGTCAAAACCAAACCCTTGAACCTATGGATTTCTGTGACTGAATAGAGGGCAAAAGGTCAAGAACGGGAAAATACCTTTCTCCACTAGCACAATTACACTGTCTACAGAACTCATTGCATTTTGCCCTGCAAGTCTTAAATTAAAGTTTATTTTCAAATCTTCATCACGAGCATCTTCACACCTGCCTGACCCTAATACTGGATCCTATTACTGCCCAGTTTTGAATCACAGAACTCATTCACGCTCGTGATCCAAGCTGATTTCCATATCATTACCATCCAACACTGGCCTTCTGCATGGTTTTGCAAACCAGCCTTGGTGCAGCTTGCTTGTTTTTCACATGTACAATTTTAGCCTGCTGCATAGCATTAATCGAAAAAGGACAAAGCATATCACTCTTTGTGAAGATGCACAGACACTTTGCTATATTTTATTTGACTGTGGGGTACATTTTTGCTCATCCAGAAGCATGGCTTTTCCAAAATACGCATGTGGCATGCGACCACCACTGTTTCCCTGTGAATTTCACTGGCATAGCCTGGATTGCATTAGGAAATTTCTAGAACAAAGGAAGTACTTGTACCCATTAGGAACAGTGATCAGCATTTCTTACCACAGGACACCAGTTTCGTCAGCTTATAATTTTACCAAACCTTAATTGTCTATGCTTATATATTCTGTGCTTGTTTCTGTCTAAAAGGATAAAAGCTTTTGGAATAACTTCAAAAATAGCACTTCAATTACTTCCAAGAATGAAGCAGGTCAAAGCACGTTATTCTGCACAGGTTAAATTTCCGGTGGCTTAATTTGAAATCCTCTCACACTCCAGTGTTTAGGGCAGAGACGTGAAACAAAGTGCAGCTCCATTTCAGGCACGTGCCTTTTGTCTTACTCAACTATGAGTGGATTTTTGTGGGAAAGTTATCAGCCTTCAAAAAACTGCATTTCACACATCCAGTAGAGATGAGAGGGCTCAGCAGCTCAAACATTCAAAATCTACAACTCAAAAAGCCTACTCACATCCTTCCTGCAGCTCACTCATGACCAGACAACTTGCAAATCATCCCACGGAGTATCTTCCCTGCTCCTGTGGTGTCCACAAACGCCCACAAGGCCTTTCTGCCACCCCCCTCAGAACCGATGGCCTCCAGTCTTGCTTCACAGGACATGACCTGGAACATCTGGTACAGCCAGGAACCGGAATAAAATACAGGGCCCCGTTTTTCCTGTGCTCTCAAGAAAGCTCTTCCTCCCTCTTCTGCACCCACGAGCACAGAAACAGCACAGATGAAGCCAGGGAATGACTTCGCAGGAGAAAGGGGAACCTGAGGAAGAACATTTTTTAAAGCAGATGGGAAATGGTTTGGTTTAGGACACAATCTGGCTACCAGTTTTAGAGAAACTGGACCTACTGGCAGTAGCTGATTGGGGCAGGAGGCACCAGGGAAAAAGGCAAGACCTGCACAGTGGCAGGGGACACCTGTGCATGCGGATACCCAGGAGGAGTGACACCTTTGCGAGGATGGTGGACTGTGGAGCACTCCGTGCTGGAATCTTGGCAAAAAGAGAGCAACAAAGAGTGGCAGAGAAACGAAAGCACCCCACACAGACCCCCATGACTGAGTATAATGTGCAGGAGTGGACTGGAGACTGGCACAGGGGAAGGAAAGGTGTCTGGAGGGAAGTTGAGGTGTTTTCTCAAGTGTGTAATTGTCATTATTACTAAATACCAGAATCAGTAATTAAGTTTATCTTAATTGGCAACAAATTAAGTGAAATTTCATGACTTGAGAGTGTTTTTCCCTGCAACACCAAGTCATAAAACTCTGCTAAAAGCCCCCATCCTAAGACTGGAGCAGTCAGCTGCTGGGGCCAGCTGTGCTGCTGTGTCCAGCAGCAGACAGCTGTGGGGTGGATCTTCTGGCAAGACCATGATGGTGCTCCTGCCTTCTTCAGTTAATACTAAGGAAATAGATATGATGTTGTCATTGTAAAAGATGCTAAAACTGTGAAGTCAAGCACTCAAAACTTAGGAAGTCTCAGAATAAAAGTCCTC